TGGTCTCTTAAATGCAAAGTCCTTTGATCACAGTTTCTTTTATTAACACAAAACACAACTTTAATTGACTTTTATGACTCCTGTGAGTTTTTATTATGTCACTATGCTCCAAAACCAAAGGGTATGAGTATGCTGTCTCGTCTGAATGATACTGTGTCTTTAAAACTTCTTATTCAAAAGTCTCCAAGTAAGTTGACTCCCAAGCACGCTGGCTTCGTTCACACTGTACTTATCTGACCACGAAGAAATCTCCTTTTAATTGATTACAACTGTCCACCTCCTAAGTCTCTACTTGGAGTGCAAGGCGTTGGCGGCGGTGACGAGCATGGTGGTGGTGGTGGAAGAAGAGAGTGACCGTGTTTGGTGAGCAGTGTTTGCCAAACAAGCATTCCATTGAAAATAAATAAACTATAATACATAACAAAACAATAAAATAACCAGATTACAGTTCCTGCACATTCTGGGGAATGCTATTACTGCCCATTCCGGGGAAGACCATTCCGGTGTAAATTCCGGAATGATCAGATTCCACTGGAATGAGAAAACACAGGAATGACAAATTTAGCAGGGCTTACTGCTAAATTTCATTCCACCGGAATTCCACCGGAATGACTGGAATCCTGCAGGAATAGGGGGGGCACTGATAAGACCTCAGTTATCTGGCTGATATCATTGTGATTTTCATTAGATACCTGGGTGATATTATTGGAAATTTCATTAGCTACATGGGCGATATCATTTGCGATTTTCATTAGTTATCTGGCTGATATCATTGTGATTTTCATTAGATACCTGGGCAATATTATGGGAAATTTCATTAGCTACTTGGCTGATATCATTGCAATTTTCATTAGAAACCTGGGCGATATCATTGGAAATTTCATTAGAAATCTGGGCGATATCATTGGAAATTTCATTAGCTACTTGGCTGATATCATTGCAATTTTCATTAGAAACCTGGGCGATATCATTGGAAATTTCATTAGCTACTTGGTCAATATCATTGTGATTTTCATTATTTATCTGGCCAATATCATTGCAATTTTCATTATTTATCTGGCCAATATCATTGCAATTTTCATTAGAAACCTGGGCGATATCATTGGAAATTTCATTAGCTACTTGGTCAATCTCATTGCAATTTTCATTATTTATCTGGCCGATATCATTGCAATTTTCATTAGGTGCCTGGGTGATATCATTGCAACTTTCATTAGCTACATGAGCAATATCATTGTGATTTTTCAAATGTAGCCCTGGGCATTTCATTGCGATTTTTCAATAGATGCCCTGTGCATTTCATTGCGATTTTTCAAATGTAGCTCCACTTCAGTCACCCACTGACAACTGACTGTTAGTCTTGCAAACTCCATGAATACTACAGGACTAAATGTCAGGGTGTATATCTATAGTGTATATATTCTGGGCTTGTATATCTCCACTTTTACCTAAATATATTTTGTTGTCCAATGTCACACTAAATATATTTCTAGTGTGTCACACACCCCAAAATATATTTCCTCACTGGAATGGACTCTAAATATATTTCTTATGCCTGGACCCTGAATTGTGACTGTCACAATGTAGAAATATATTTCTTGTCTGGGTTGGACTTGGGATATATTTTGCAGCTAGGGTTGACTAAGGATATATATTTTCAGCCACAAGGGGTGTCTGGGGTCCTATATTTAAGAGAAAAACTTGGGATTTTTTTAATATAGGGGACAGGGGATTTACCTATTATTTTGTAGACAGAATACCCTCATTGGGATGTTTGTTGACAGATATTTACCAATGGGTTTGACCCATGTGTAGTATATGCATTGATGTGTGCACTATTTCCTAATTGGGCCATTTCCTAATTGGGAAAAGCGTTACATTTTTTTCTGCCACACTTGATGTCAGGCACAGTGCGCATTTAGGTTGGGAACTGTTTCCCACGCTTTTTGGGCCAGAAGAATTAATGGTTAGCATGGTGTGGTCATTGTTAATGATGATGTGTGCACTATTTCCTAATTGGGCGACTTCCTAATTGGGAAAAGCATTACACTTTTTTCTGACAGACCTGATGTCAGGCACAGTGCACATTTAGGTTGGGAACTGTTTCCCACACTTCTTGGGCCAGAAGAGTTAATGGCTAGCATGGTGTGGTCATTGTTAATGATGATGTGCGCACTATTTCCTAATTGGGCCATTTCCTAATTAAGAAAAGCGTTACACTTTTTTCTGACACACCTGATGTCAGGCACACTGCGCATTTGGGTGGGGAATTATTTCCCACACTTTGGTTTGTAGTGTCTGCTTTTTTCATTACAACACTTTGTAGTGTCCGCTTTGATGATTACAAAATTGTGTAGTGTCCGCTTTATTGATTAGAAAATTGTGTAGTGTCCGCTTTTTTCATTACAACACTTTGTAGTGTCCGCTTTATTGATTAGAAAATTGTGTAGTGTCCGCTTTTTTTCATGACAACACTGTGTAATGTCCGCTCTGATTGATTAGAAAATTGTGTAGTGTCTGCTTTTTTCATTACAACACTTTGTAGTGTCCGCTTTATTGCATTAGAAAATTGTGTAGCATCCGCTTTTTTCATTACAACACTTTGTAGTGTCCACTTTATTGATTAGAAAATTGTGTAGTGTCCGCTTTTTTCATTAAAACACTTTGTAGTATCCGCTTGATTCATTAGAAAATTGTGTAGTGTCTGCTTTTTTCATTACAAAACTGTGTAGTGTCCGCTTTTTCATTAGAAAATTGGGTAGCATCCGCTTTGTGCATTACAAAATTGTGTAGTGGTCACTTTATTCATTACAACACTGTGTAGTGTCTGCTTTTTCATTACACAATTGTCTAGTGTCCGCTTTTTTCATTAGAAATGTGTGCAGTGTCCAATTCTTTCATTACAAAACTTTGTGGTTTGCCTTTCTGATATCTTGCAGCTTCCTGGAAATATAGCTTAATGTTTCAGAGAAACTGACTCCAGCCAAAGACCTCTTCATCATTTAGAATCCATACACAAATTGTCTTTTGACTGACCATCAAGTGTTCTAATTGTTCCCCTGGCCAGCTTCAGTCATGTTGTCCAACATTCATTGCATCTCCCTGGGGAGTCATCTCTGTCCATCTTTGTCTGACCATACCCAACCTCAACATGATCTCCTTCAAGAAGATCTCAGTGATTGATTTGCCAGCTGTTGGGGCTACTGTCAGAAGCTGTTCAAGGGGAAAGTTAGGACACTTGATGCTCAGTCAAAACACAACTGATGTATGAATTCCAGATGATGAAGAGCTGTTTTACTGGAGTGACAATATATCAGAAAGGCAGACCACAAAGTTTTCTGATGAAAAAAGCAGACACTGCACACATTTCTAATGAAAAAAGCGAATACTGCAGAGTTTTCTAATGAAAAAAGGGGATACTACACAGAATTGTAATGAAAAAAGCGGACACTACACAATTTTCTAATGAATAAAGTGGACACTACAAAGTGTTGTAATGAAAAAAGCAGACACTACAAACCAAAGTGTGGGAAATAATTCCCCACCCAAATGCGCAGTGTGCCTGACATCAGTTGTGTCAGAAAAAAGTGTAACGCTTTTCTTAATTAGGAAATGGCCCAATTAGGAAATAGTGCACACATCGTCATTAACAATGACCACACCATGCTAGCCATTAACTCTTCTGGCCCAAGAAGCGTGGGAAACAGTTCCCAACCTAAATGTGCACTGTGCCTGACATCAGGTCTGTCAGAAAAAAGTGTAACGCTTTTCCCAATTAGGAAGTTGCCCAATTAGGAAATAGTGCGCACATCATCATTAACAATGACCACACCATGCTAACCATTAATTCTTCTGGCCCAAAAAGCATGGGAAACAGTTCCCAACCTAAATGCGCACTGTGCCTGACATCAGGTGTGGCAGAAAAAAATGTAACACTTTTCCCAATTAGGAAATGGCCCAATTAGGAAATAGTGCACACATCAATGCATATACTACACATGGGTCAAACCCATTGGTAAATATCTGTCAACAAACATCCCAATGAGGGTATTCTGTCTGCAAAATAATAGGTAAATCCCCTGTCCCCTATATTAAAAAAATCCCAAGTTTTTCTCTTAAATATAGGACCCCAGACACCCCTTGTGGCTGAAAAAATATATCCTTAGTCAACCCTAGCTGCAAAATATATCCCAAGTCCATCCCAGACAAGAAATATATTTCTACATTGTGACAGTCACAATTCAGGGTCCAGGCATAAGAAATATATTTGGAGTCCATTCCAGTGAGGAAATATATTTTGGGGTGTGTGACACACTAGAAATATATTTAGTGTGACATTGAACAACAAAATATATTTAGGTAAAAGTGGAGATATACAAGCCCAGAATATATACACTATAGATATACACCCTGACATTTAGTCTTGTAGTATTCATGGAGTTTGCAAGACTAACAGTCAGTTGTCATTGGGTGACTGAAGTGCCCTCGCACAGCTACGATATACTCAATAATAAAAAGGGTTGCAGGCTTAATCGATATAGTAATCAATCGCGGGAATTCGGGGGAGGTCAATCTCCAAGCATCGAAACATATCTTAAACATAGCGCTGAGGCTTCAATATCCCTCTCTACCTTTAGATATTTTGAATATACACTTGCACTACTACAACACACTTTATAATATTAAAATTTTATTTGTACAATTGGTTTGAGTAAAAGTCAGATGAAACTCAAGCCTTTGTCCAAGATTCCTCTTAGAGTTCGGCGTCAACTCCGCGACTTTGGCTCCTGCCACGGGCTCACTCAACCATATTTGAATTTTTTTACATATTTAGAACGGTGCTTGATTCTACTTTCCAACCATGTATTTACTTTAGTGCATACTGTTCAACCATTGGAGACAGAAACAAAAAGTCGTAAGAAATTGGACAAACCACGTGCACCTAATAGGGTAAGGCCAGTTATTCAATCTTGCGCTACGGTCAACACGAGCTGAATACCATGCCTCGTCCTACTCTCTACCACACGTCTGAAGAGAAGGCTGCCGCGCGCCGTGCTACTTCCAAAAAATACTATGAAAAGTGAGTACCTCTGATGTTTTTTATTTTTGTTTTTACATCTGATATTCCAGGCATCAAGTTCAAATCAATCGCCGATCGCGTCGCAAATACAAAAAGAAACTACAGAACATCCGGAAAGATAACATCTCGGAAAGGTAAGATCCCTCGGTTTCTCTCAGTACCTAGGTTCTGACATTGAATGGCGAGATGCGACCCACTATGGCTTATGGAGAAGGCAAAAGAACAATTCAACAAACTCACGCATGGTGCTCTGTATACGTACCTTGACGAGATTGCCCAATATTGCATCGCCAACCCTGAGGAGGCCAAGGAATACTGCGCGTCGATGGAGGAACAATGGAACACGTTCATGATGGAGGTACAAGGCGTGCTTGGGGATATTTTGCAGGCATATGGATGTGGAGACATCTGGAAAAAAGCAGATATGGTGGGCCGCGACATCCGGCACGTCGTGAGCCTTGTTGAGGAGATCCATATGCAGGCGATGAGTTCTGTAGATGACATCGCTGATTGGCGTTCCAGTGGTATCTTTGCTTATCAGATCTGTGCCGAGGGTGCCAAGGTCGCTATCTAGTCAAATTTAGTTCCCTGTATCTAAACGACCCTACCTACATATCTCAAAACCATTTGCACTACCCGGCGTGGATTAATCCATTGATTTTGGTCTGATGTCACCTGTATAATTATCAAGCCACAAAAATAAGGTTCAAGTTCAAGTCAGCGCACAGTTGAGGCTTGCCTTGTAAAAAACCCCATCGTCCGTCCAAAATGCCTAAGGTGTCACTCAAGCCCAAAACTTACAAGCCCATCATTGTCGACACTGGCAACAATCTTGGCAAAAGGTGCTGTGAGGTATGATCTCATGTAATTTCAAATGGTGGGGGGACCCTGACAAGAGATCGATCGTTCAGATTGCTGCCCAAGCCAAGTTAGATGACATTGCTGCCGCAAAACGGCTCCGCAAGCGGGAGCAAAACGCGGTGTTGAAGCAACTCTTGCCCAGCTTCGTTTCTGCGTCCAAGGAGGGCCAGGTGACCGCTTATATGTCTCGCGCATCTCTGGTGTGGTTCCTCCGTTTTCCCGACCCGACAGAGGAGGAGGTGTTTGTCCATGAAAACTTCAAGGATGACCCAGCCTACGAAGAATATATTCGAGACGCACGCCGAAAGGTAAGTACACTTATGTATTATAGATTGCGCACACTGACTGAAACACTTCGAAGTGGATGCGCAAGAAGCTCTCTTGGATGTGTGGGAGCTTCGCAACTACCGAGGATGGACCAAAGCCCGAGAAACCCATTTGGGTGTTAGAGTTGAACTTGGCAGCGCAGGAAATTTTGAGCAAGTTGGAAACACCTTGGAAATGGGACCCTGAGGCGTTGGCGGCGTTGGAGGCCATAGAGAAGTGCTTGGCTCCATGCGAGAGGTAGAGAAGGGTAACTTTAAGGTCTATAGCCTTACAAACTGTTTGTAATGTACATTAGAAACCGTTTGTAACGAAACTTATTCTTATAACTTGAACTAGATCTCGATTGATCTAGATGTGACCAATTCTATTGTCCCTTGTTGATGTCACTTTTCTTTTCTCAGGTCCGACCATCCAATGAAGAGAAAGGGGAAGGCCAAGGAGAAACGTTATGTCGTCGTGCGTGGCTCTGACGACGACGAGCGCCAGGACGTTTCTATCCCGCAATCTCGGACCATCCACTTTTCCAACAAAGGACTTCGCATCCTTCAAACCCCTCTTTCCCCGCAAAAAGCTGCATCTACCTCTCATCGCAGTCCGTCGCCTCAGTATGAGTGGAATCCAAGTACCGAGTACGACAACATAGAAGAGCCACTCCACGAATTGGAAGGGGAACTACTGGACCAAATTTCAACTGTAGCTGAGAAGGTTGCAGCTAAACGCTATCCAACCTCGGTAAGTTTGGACCATTGCAGGTCTGTCAAATATCTCATGCCGTTTAGGACGCCCCTTTGCGTGAATGGGCAGGAGCTACACTTCAAGAGCCTGGCTGCCGAGAAGAATATCTCATGGAAATGTTGAGGTTAGAGGGACGGGGAGACAGGTCGACGGAAGACCAGTGCATGTCTTGCCTCGCTGGGGGTGGCATCTACCGTTGCGAAGATTGTATGGGCCGCTTGATGGAGTGCCTTGGTTGCTGCTTGAAGCGCCATGAGCAGCTCCCTTTGCATATCATCCAGGCTGGTTTCTATCACTCCTCCTCTACTCGTTCTGATTAGTTGTCAATAGAAGTGGAACGACGTCTTTTTTGAAAAGATTTCTCTCAGAACGATGGGGCTACGAGTCCAGCTTGGCCACGTCAATTCACCTTGCTTATTACCTCAGCCTGGCCACAAGGACTTCACGGTCCTTCATACCAATGGCCTTCATTACGTGGCCGTGGATTTTTGTGGCTGCGATCAACGAGTCATCTCCAATCGGCAGCAGCTGCTCCGCGCAGAGTGGTTTCCTGCGACAGTCCATCAACCACAAACCTGCGCGACTTTTCGGCTACTGGAACTCTTCCACATCATCACCCTGACAGGAAAACTGTCTGCTCACGAATTTTACAAGGCCCTCGAGTACCTCACAGATAATACTGAGCTTGAGATTCCCAAGGTAGGTTTGCTGTGCGGTCTGCAATTTCTGTCATTTACAAATCTGTTTTTAGACGCGATATAAGTCGCTCATGCGCATGATTCGCGAGTTTCGCCACTTGAAACTCATGAAGCGCCATGTGCAGGGGAACATTGAGCATGGCATCACGCGTACGGCACGCGGGGATCTTGCTACCCTTTGTCCAGCATGCCCGATACCAGGAGTCAACCTTCCCGAGAAGTGGGAAGACGTCGGAATGGAATGGAAGTAAGTGTTGAGTTAGTCTAGTGGAGCCGAGCTGATTGGTCAATGTTTCTTTAAGGTTTCTCTATACCCTCATAATCGCCATGGACGCGAATTTTCGCTTGAAGAACCTGATGCGCTCGAGCCTCAAGAAGGACCCAGGATTACATACAGGGCTTGCATACTTCCCTGAAGATGCACCGTACCAAAAGCACATATTGAAGTATGCTACCCAAAAAGATGTACGTAGCGCTCTCTTGTCCATTCTGTGTCTCAACTCAAGTCATTCAAGATTAGCACCTGCAGTGGGTTTAAAACACTGGCGAATGCAGAGACACAGTTTTCGGCCGGTTTACGCTCAACCGGTGTAGGGATGTGTTTGTGTGCCAGACATGAAATTATTCGTCCTGGGGGGGTGGGAGACCTTCAAAAGGGAGAACGGTATGTACCTCCCGATGTGGTTCATCGCGCCGAAACTTATTTCTAGTGACTTAGGTACTGTAACATGGATTTCATCTTACTGTCCGCCCTCGCTCCACTCCTCGTCGCTTCGGTCTTTATCTCTTACGACATCGCTTGCCAATTCAAGCTTGGCTTCGAAACGCGAATGCCCAAGTTACCAAAAGATCTACACATTCACTCGGACGTTGAGCTGGGCTGGGGTATCCCCAAGTGTCATTGCCCCATGCATAAGGTGCCTTGCCAGGCTCCCCATTCGCTAAATTTCAAGCCCGGCGTGGGCCGCACCGATGGCGAGGGAATTGAACAGAGTTGGGCCGAGATGAATCGCGTTGCGAGTAGTACGAAGGAAATGGGTCCTGGGTCGCGGCATGACACGCTCGATGACCACTTCGAGCACCACAACTTTAGGAAATATGTTTCACTTGGTGAGGCATTCACGCATTTTTGATCGTTGATTGTACACTCACTATTTTTTCAGGACGAACATTGCATTGCCGGCTGACCCTCGCAATACCTGAACAAAAGCGTCAACAAGTCATCTTTGATGACTTTTCATCATCGCTCAAGGAGAACGGCCTGGAGGACAAATGGCTGAAGATGGTCTTGGAGTGGGAGAAAAACCCAAAGAAACCAAATCCGTGTATTTCTGTGGTGACACATTCATTTTTTCACTACTTCTTATCGAGTGCATGATTAACTGATTGTTTTCAGATGCCTCCCAAGACGAAGTGAAGAAACAACTACTCGAGGAAGAAAAGCGCGCAGTGACTACTGGTGTGCCTCAGCTGCACGATACCGGGCCTACCGGCTTTATCTCAATGGGTCTGGTGGTCGAAGAATCCCAGTGAGTTATCTATTCTGTTTCTGGTCAAAGGTATTTGCTAATACACATGTCTAGACGCTGGATTATCTGGGATTCCAGGCACTCAGCCGAGCTCACAACCCACAAGGATAACGAGCTGCAACGCCATCGTCTCCTTCTTCTACGCCACATCAAGCAGTTCCGCAACCTACAGGCCATCTACATGCCAGCTGCCACCATCATGCTGAACAAGGACGAGGCATCCCAGCAGGCCCTACCTGAAGCCAGCCGCAGGTCCACAGAAGCCGAATTTCAACTTCTCTGGCTTCCGTCATCGCTTCCCGCCGACCATCGTAAACACAATTGCAACGCGAACTTGGTTGAAATCGAAATCAAATTATGTGAGGCGCAGTGTCACGACACGCTTGACAAAGTACGCAGTTTGCAGCGTGGTCGGTTATCTTTCATCGGGTTCCGCAACTGCAACATTCGTGGACAAAATCCTAACACCAGGGCAAAGGACACCCTCGACCAACTCGAAGACAAGACGAAAGCTGTCGCGGTGAAATATATGGCAGCGAGGGACGCACTTTTGGCATTACGGGGTCCGGGAAGTTGGGAGAAAGAGTTGCGGCCACTGATGCACGGGGATCTGACAATGCCGGATGGACACGAGATTAGTATCGAGATTCTAGGCGACACGGTGGGCCCTGATGGGCGGACATTATCGAAGAAGAAATGAAAGGCGGAACAGTTGGATCTGGGGCAAGGAAGGAAAACAGTTTCGTGGATCTGGACCACGACGGCAGCGGTTGGCGATGGCGACGATGCTGTGCTTCATGAAGGTAAGGAGCCATTAATTTAGTATGATCAACCATTCATTAATTTCTAGCGGTACGAATCGAATGGGCCAAAGCCCGCGCGCGGTGCTTGCGCTGGACAGAAGAAGTCCACTTACTTAAGGAAGAGATGCGGAGGGTTCGGAAAACCCTAGAGTGGAAGGCGGCATGGTGGGATGATCGGCGGATGGGATGGAATGCTTTGGATGAGCCAACTCGGGAAGGGGTGCAGGCGTACGCGAGCCGGCAAGCAAGCATTCAGAGAGCCCTGCATGCGTGGTTTACACGCCTGTGGGACAGGCCATGGACACCTATAGCGAGTGCGGATGAAGCTAATGAAGGCCCCGGATATAGTATTGATCCTATCATTGAATCCCTGGCAGAGTGCGACGAGGAGTAGTGCTTTTTTTTGGCCCAAGTTGAATATACTTCTTTATTTGCAGTTGTTTATTTCTAAAGCTATGACATCCAAGACATGTTTCTCTAATCCATCCATTTCTCCCCCCCCCCCCCCCCCGCCCCCCAATGGAGGCGGAAAGTGTTGAAGTACAAGTGTTGCTAGACAAACATATATCTGATGTATTTTATACAATCTATATAGCAGAGGAATGAGCAGGAGAGACGAAAGACCATCAGAGCTCCAAAATGGGAGATTGTTTGATGGTGTTTATCTCTAAGGCTACGACATCCAACATGTGTCTCTCCAATCCATCGATTTCCCCCCCCCGACGGAGGCGGAAAGTGGTGGAGAACAAGTGTCAATACGCCAACATATATCTGGTATATTCTATTCAACTTATATCGCGGAGAAATGAGTGACAGAGAGGAAAAACCATCAAAGCTCCAAAATGGGAGATTGCTTGATGGTATTTACACTGATGCCCAAATAGAAAAACAACAGAGAGAGATGAAATATCATTTGCATTCCAGAAAGGGAGATACCTTTTAACAATTTATATACAGGACAACAGAAATACAGTAAAATGAGACACCAGAATGACCTGCATAGAACCAGGTGGGTATAGGCACTCCCTGGGTCACAGCGAAAACTGCATTAGTCCAGGAAATAAGGCCTATGCCTACAGCCATGGGTGGCTGCTGTTGAGGGCACTGGAAACACGGCGCCAGATATCATCAAGATCACGTACACAATCTCCATCTACACAGCTGCTCAGATGAAGAAAGAAGCTGGCAAGCGTGGCACTGCGAAGAACACTTTCCTGCAGCTCGAGTCTACGGAGCCCTGGGATACAGTCAAGGCCCAGCTCCTTGTGAAAATTGACGGCATCTTGAAACCGACAACCATTGATTTTGACGACTACACTTTCAGCTTTTCAGTGCCCCGAGTCCACACGAAGCCGACTGAGCTCACCAATGAGGATTCTTACAAGTTTATGGTTGAGCGCGCTTCCAAAGGCAAGGACCCCACCGTGAACCTTACCATAGAGCCCAAGCCACAGTCTAAAAAGGTACGCTAACTATTCATTCACCGTTGTTATAAGACCTACTAAATCCTTGTGTGTTCTCCCCACCTCTAGCACCGTCATGAGGATGACTCCGATAAGGAAAACAACACAGACAGCAGCAGCGACAGTGATTCAGACGGCGGAAAGAAGAAGAAAAAGAAAAAGCAGCAGAAGGATGGCAAGAAGAAGAAACTGGTATGGTTCCTTTTGTTTTTCACATTGTTTGTTGAGCTAACATCTCCTTGGCTTATAGGATCCGAAGGACCTCCCCGGAAATGCAGCCGTCTCACGTGAGATTGGCGCTCTATGGGAGAAGTGGATGTGCAACGCTGCTGGGTGTGAGAACAAAGGCTTGCACTGCTACATCAATCCCGTCGACGGTGCCCATTTCGCTCTCGGTCATGACCATTTCAGAATATGGGCTTCGGCCATTGTAAGGCATTCATTTCTTTTTCAATTTATTTCATTACTCATGCTAGGCGTTAGCAACAAGGTCCTGATCGCGCAACACAAACCAGGCCACCTCTTCACCACAAGTTCGACGCTGTGAATGCTGCAAGGCCTGGTGGCGAGGAGGCATCGCAGACGTCATTACTACAGCGACGTGCAGCTGCTCAAAAGGCCTTGGCAGCTCTTCCTACGTCCCCGAACATCCATATTCATGTCCCTGACATGTCGAAGCTGTTTCAGCCAGCTGCTGCTGCTGCTGCCGCCACTCCACTTGCACCTGCCGCTGCCCCACTTGCACCTGCTTTGCCCATCATTCAAACTATATCCGATAACCCTCTCCTCGTTCCTGCGCATGCCGCGGCTCAACCTGCTATACCACTCAATGAGTTTGCGCTTTGTTTTGAATTTTCCGATAACATCCGCAACACGCTTCAAGGTGAAGGATTCACAAGCTCGAACCAACTTCGTTTGATTTCTCTGCAGGAACTGCGTGACATGGGCCTGAAACACGGCGAGATAGCCGTCTTACAGGAGGCCGCAGGTATTCATTAGCCTAACTAGATGCTTACTTCTCAATCATGCTCATGATATCATTTCGCTATTCAATCGTTGATAGCTTTCTTCGCTTTCCAATTCTCTGCAGCTGTATGTATTTGTAGACTAGAAATAACCTGCATGAATAAAGTACCCTATCGCATCCTCTGAAGTAATGACATCCAACGCAACATACATGTCATAAAATATTGCTGCGTTTTCTGCCGACAGAAAAACATCACCGTTTCGACGGATAAACGCTTTGATCTTCAAGAAAGCCTCTTCAATTGGGTTCAAATCAGGGGAGTATGGTGGTAGATACTCAATCCGAACACCTAAAACAAGGGGAAGCCTGTCAATCAGAAATTGGAGTGCATACATTTGACTAATACTCACCGAAACGATCAGCTAGTACCAAGATCTCATCACCATGATGAATGCGGGCATTATCCATGATGAGCACGCTCAAAGGACCTGGGTAAGCAGAGGTTAGGGGCATCTGAATGCGAGAGGCCAAATTATAGTAAGATTGTGTAAACGGTACATGTTTTATGGCACTCACCACATGGTACTCGAGAAATTCCAGATACATTTCTCTATTCATCGACCCTTCAACAACCGTCGATGCCACAATTCCATCCACAGTGAGAAGTGCAGTTGCTGAAAGACGCGTTCCGCGGACAAAGCATTGTTTCATTATGGCACGGCGTCCTTTTTTGGCACGCCCATTTGCCCGAGTGGCAGTCTTGTCGTTCTTCGATGTCTCATCAAGGAAACCAGTCTCTTCCGGCTCATACTGGCTGATACGAGCTATGAAGTCATTCCGAGCCTCCTCGTTGCGCTCTGAGGCAATGCGCTTGAGCTTCTTGTATGAGACTCCAGCCCTCTGCAGTTCTCGGTGAATTGTAACGTAGTGAATGGAGATAAGCGGTTGGTTTTCAGAAGCTCAAGAAGTTCGTCGAGGAACCAATCGGGACGAAGGGGAACCAGCTGTAGAACGTAATGGATGTCGTCGAAGTTGAGAATTCGCGGCCGACCAGCAAGATTCCCATACTTGTGGGTGACGACGTCGCCAGTCTCGCGCCAGAGCTTTAGAATGCGGAAAAAGGTCCTCCGAGACAGATGCATGATGTCAAGAATATCCCACAGAGGCAAGATTTCACGCTCGTAAAGCCTTATAACAGCAAGTTTCAAGTCACGACTAATCTTGCGGAAGGGCATGATGGTGATTGGCAAGTCAGTGAGACGTCAAACACGCTAAATTATCTAAGTAGCAAATTTGCTCAAGTTTTCAAAATGACGTAGTAGTGCCAACCTTTATGAAAACAGCTGTAAATCGCAAGCCAGGGTACCCATTTCAAACTCCGATAAGGGTCAGATTTATTCGTTTATATAGATTTATGTTACGGGAAGTCACCCATTATCGTACTTATGACGAAACGGGCGAGATAGCGTCGAAAACATCCTTTGATGAGACCGATGCCTCCCTGGGTCGCATTGATGCACGCTACATTGCGCCGCCTCACAACGGGATTTCCTTGCAGATTCGTCTTAGTCAGGCCGAGCTAATTTTATTTCAGGAGGCAACACCATACGACAGCGCAGAAAACAAGCTCAACTTTGACCACAGGATCAGCATTTTCTCTGATAATTATCCAGGTATCTCCGCAGATGAACCTATAGCAGTGGTATATAAACCACAGATACGCTTCCCAATCGCAACCAGCAGGTTTCTCAAAGAAACTGAGAGTAACTCGAAGTTCTGGTGGGTGGCCATCCGGTATGATATCCGTTTCACTTCCTATCTAATTATAGCGATGGGGGCTACTAGCATTGATCCGACCTGGCACTCCGCAAAACTAGGGGAAAATTTTCAGACTGATGGGGTATTGACGCGTACACGGATGAATGGGGTTTGTTTCCAGTTGACACTTTTTTTGACCGATGCTCACCTCATGCTTTTGGAACCTAGTGCATGAGTGTTACGTGGCGACAAATCCATCCGGAAAACTGGGATGTAAGAATTTCAGCGTATCATTTTATTTCAGGTGAAATCTCATTTCATTGCACACAGTGATCAAATCAGGTGAAGTCTCCAAGATTGAAACATCTACATACGAAATAAACGACACACACTTTCAGATTTTGCAACTCTCCTATAGATGCCTCCTTCTTCGTCGACTTTGATCCCGTCAACGCTTGTTTCAATGAGAGGCAACTTCTTGGTGACTTGCGCATTATTAAATTGACAATTTGCGTTGGGACGGTCCAGGAGGCACGGTTCACTAGTTAAAAACAAACACGAAAAATGTTCTCCGGTTCTAATAAGCCAGGTTATAAAATTTGACCTGCACTTGGAATCCTATGTGACGCCTTCTGAGTCCGAGCATCGAGCTATTCCGATATCGTCAAATCCAGGTTTTAGAATAGGTTAGTTATATAAATTGGGACGATCGTGAATCCTCCAAAACGTGAGAGTTTCGGAGTCTAGTCACGTTGGTCAAAGGTCCGTGCATTTGTTCGTTCATGCTGATCTCACAGAACGTTTTTGTCTATCGTTGTCAACGCGACTGCCTTTCTTACGACCCAGCTGTGGTAAGTTAATATTCCGTTTCGAGCGCATTTATGCTTACCGTTTGGCACTGGAAAGTCGTTGGAAAGTCGTGAACCAAATTTTGATCAACGGGCGACATGCACAGCCCCAGCGCAGCGATCAGGTACCATTTGGCGACTGCTTATCCACGCAGACAAGTCTTCATCCAACAATCCATACCCACATTTGTCTCTAAAGTCCCGATACAATGAGCGTTTGCGGCAGAGAGCCATCGCAGTTGGACGGTCGAGGAGGAAGCGAACCTGTGAGTCAACTATGTGCTTTCGTTGCACGATAGTATTTCTCATCGCAAACCCCAAAATAGAGATCAGAAGCGAGTCATCACTACAGTGCGACCGTCCTTTCATGAGTTTGTATCATTGACCTCAGCTTAGATTCACAGTGTATTACCGGTTATACGCCAACAATGACGCACTCGAATCTAAGAATCCCATCTACTCCAATGACAGATTTATCGGACGCACTTCGTTCAAGTCTATCACACCTCCACGTAACGTTGCCTCTCTCAAAAGGAATATCTGGAAGGTCGAGGGTTTCGAAGGCATCCCAACATGCGCTTTGTATCTCTCTTTGTCGGAAAAGGCGCCGGCAGAGGACTTGACCCGCCTTCCACCGCGCGGATCAGGTTCGTCTGAACTGGACCCGATGGCTCTGGTGTTAAACGTTACGGAGGTCGAGAAGAGATTGGCGGCGTCTAATAATCTGGACTCGGACACGCTGCCTGAATGGCCCCACGAACAACGCTATGGTGAGCGCTTATTTCCTCACAAGATCTATCTATTAACTTCTCGTCAGTCCATTATCGTACTTATGATGACGCGGGCGAGATTGTATCGAAGACGTCTTTTGATAAAACCGACACGTCTCTGGGCCGCGTTAACGCACTCTCCGTTCCTCCGCCTCACAACGGCGCTTGTTTGAAGGCTCGACTTCGTCAGGCCGAGAACCTCCCAGCCTATGATTTTAAATTGTATAAAGATGATAGCGGAGAGACGATTTTGAATTGCGATGAAGGCGTCAATATTCTTTCTGATGATTATCCAGGGATCATCGCAGATGAACCAGTTGCTATTGTATATAATTCCCAGCAGGCCCTCTGCGATCCGATTCCTCAGGGATTCCCGAGGAAGATTCGAGCTTTAGCATGTAGTGGGTACCCTCGCAGATTCTACACACCTCTACTTTTACTTATAAGTTTTGTCTTTCAGAAATGGGAGCTCATGATCCGACATGGCACTCATCGACGCAGGGGGAGATTTTCCACACCGATGGAGTAGTGACAAAAAAGAGATACTATATGGATGCATGGGGTTGGTTTTCAGTTACTCCCCTTTTGATATGGTACTGATGGCCTACTCTCCTTAGTATACGACTGTTACGTTGCAATAAATTCCGACGGAAAACGTGGCTGTAGGTATTTTTTTCTCTGCCGTATTCCACTCTTTTTGAAAGCCCTTGCTTTTGCAGTTATAAGGATAGGTTGGTTCTATGAACTTGAACATCCAGACATAAAACGAATGATATACTCTCAGAAAATGCAACTCTCTGTTGATTCAAATGCTCACTTTCCCCACGTCTCGAATTGAAGCTGCCATCCAGGACTTTCAAGCTACAACGTTCACTCCGTCACCCTTGAGCTTTAGATATTTAATTCGTTTCTAGGCAAATTCAAATCGTACTCGGCAATCGGTTCACCTCGCGAGGCTTCACTGTTACGTGTAACATTGGCTTGTATCTTAATGCCTGACAGTCCATTTCGTGGCGAAGTTGGTGGATCCGGTCGCGACAACCATCTGCACGAGCTCCGTGTACTTGGTATACATTTAAAGTTTGCGAAGTATGTATTCCCTACAACTACGACTCCCGACTCGCAATTTTGCGAGGCTGCACATTTTCCTATATTTCTGTATGACAGAAATGGGACTTTCTGGAATACTTCAGTAACCTTCTTCCGACGAGCCACGTCCCCTGAGCCCTCCAATTGCGCACCTTTAGAGATTTGAGCCCATCTCTTTGGTGCTTTGGGCGTATTCCCTCTTTCCTCGCGAGGTCAACGCTGGCCCTATCGCGTATGGCTTATGCCAAACCGGCGCTTAATGAATGGGGCAGAATCGAGGTTGGCACCATGTGCGAAGCAGAGTTCGGGGAAATACTTACAACAAGTGGGCTGTAACGCAGCATCATGACCAAGGGAAGTTCAAAATAACCTGAGTCTATCGCGTAGCAGGTGAATCGCTCGAAGGGATCATCCACGCATGAGCAGCGTTGGAGCAGCGTGTTTTGAGCGTGCTGAACTAAGCACTTTGTATGTGGCGCCTGGTTTTAGGGGATAAATTATGACTGATTGATCCAGTAGACCAGTCACCAGTATACTGTGAAGTTGTTGTGATAGTGAGGCGTTGTGACCTTAACTCATTGTCAAGTCAATATTCAGTACTATCATTGGCTAAGCATTGCAAGGCGTTGCAAATGTGAGCACGACCGAGGTAAGCAGTGTTGGCTCGTCGTGAATTGTCACGCTCGCTCTAGTCTCTCGTAGACAGACTTCAATATATGTGAAGTCGTACCTTGGTTCACGATATATGAACGCTCGCTCCTTCGAATGTTCTTCATGGAATTGCTCAATTGATAAGCTCAATTTTTTTAGTCTTCAATAACATAACTTAATAAGTATGCATCGCTTTCAAGAATAAAATTTACGACTCTCCGCCTAGCTTTGATTACATTCTATGCAGGTAACATGCTGTCACCAAATTCATTATAACCAACCTCCTGAGTGTGTTCCCTGACGAATCTTTCTCAAATAATAGATTTATATTGTTGCGTTGGTTTCAAGTTGGTTTACCTACCAGTGCTAGGCACGTGACACTAATAACCAGAATCACGTGCTGTCAACTGATTTCGTTTTTCGTTCTCAGCAGTCATGCATTCATGGCTCTGCGCCATTTACTACGTTGCTCTCTACCTCCCGAGTTTCACATCAAGTTTTTGAGGTGAGGCAAATACGCGGCGTGGCTTCGTGGGTGCGTGAATGTGGAGGTCAGCTTGGTGCGTCTTGGTTCACAGCCCCTTTTCCTCATCAAGGCTGATGACCTTCCTTTCCGGCGACAGAAGTCCCGCCTCTACATTCTGGTTATCATGTCCGTTCTGTGACAGCAGTTTTGGGTTCAAACTAGGCTGAACCACGTTCTCTATGAACTCTGATCTGCCGGTGTCTACCTGGACGTGAGTCTAAGGCAATCAGCGACAACGAAGGAGACAACGCCCTGAAGCGACGAAACAACCCCCAAATCCAGTGGATCTACGCGAAATTCGACACTTTTCATCTCGAAGCCCAAGACTTCTTTGATTTTTAGTCACTTTTCTTGGAGCTTCGAAGCTCCATCGCCAGGCGTTTTAGGCGTTTTGCCAGTCTGATCTAACTTCAAGTTGGGGGTCTTTCCGACTCCTTTTACGAGGGGGTTGGTGACGTAGCCGAGAACCCCAAATCGCTCGAGGAAATCTACCTTTTTTAGAGATTAAATACCCTACAGGCTACAATTTGCGCGGGTAGTACTCCGATGTCTCAGGTTGAATCTCACCCTCAACCTTAAAAATCCGCTAGCAGGCTTTTCGACAGGTTCTCGCGTTTGTAACTTCTTGACGTCGTCTTCGAGATCCAGTATGGAAGAAAATCTGAAATGATGTAATCCGTCAGTTTTACCTGCTTCATCGATCCAGTTTCAACGAACTAACAACTGTGGTCAACTGAGTACCCTTTTAGTACCTTTCACATATCATTATGAAGATTGACTCGAGTTTAATTGGTACCCGGTTTTGTATCTGCAAGAACCTGCTCTAAACTGGCCCATTGACAAACGTCTTTCCGATGGATAATTTCATACGTCATTCTTTTTCTCGATGTTCAGCTTTCTCAGATTTGCACCCCTTCAGATTCAAGAGACAGGGGTGGCTATCTTGACCCTTCTTGCTTCCCTGATACGAGGCACCGACGGCCGACGCCGCAGGTTAGACGCGACCCTGATGCGGGATCGACGCGACTGGTCATCCCCTCAGGCACTCAACGGAAGACTGCAGATCCATTTCTCGGAACTTCGTCATGGGGGCAAGCTGGTCTTACATTAAGCGAGGGATCTCCCATATAAGCAGTTCTAATTATGGATGCTCATTCTCGGTTAAGGTTCCTCCGTGTCCGTCAAGCCCGAACTTGCGTACCGCATTCAGAGAGATGGGACTCTAAAGATGCAACTTATTCCGGTGACAGATACAGGGTAAATGATCCAGGGTGAGTGTATGGTACATGTTGAGATGCGTAAGTAAATAATAATATCTATAAGCGTTCTAATGGGATCCCAACGACATCGAAAACCTGACGTCCCCATCCGCCACTGACGACAACTTCATTACTTTTAACCCATCGAAGAGCGTTCTTCCTAAGAGAACGTCTAACCTCTTTGGATCTCCGAAATGGTGATGATGCCGTGACGGGTTGATTCTCAACGTGTAAGACTCGAGGAGGTTGTGATACGTTTCCAGTGGGAGATACTTGTACTCGTGGAATTGCAAGGGCAGCTGGAAATACGAGTGTACTGCGTCGAGGATGTCACGTATCGTGATGCATTCTGAGTCCCTCGCTCTAATTGTGAGTGTCTCCCATGAGCGTTTTAGTTCTGAGAGATGTGGGTCAGGGAGAGAGAATCGGAGGGTGGCGTGGGGTAGTGGAGGTTCTGTGGCTGCGACATCGAGGTTTGGAGGGCGAGATGAATATGTCGCTGTCGATGAAGGAAAAGCGACATTCCAACCAAACTTGCTGTCGATGAGATAGGAATGTATACGGATGGCAGGCTTGGAGAGGGCAGGCTTTGACGTGGAACGTGATGGTGAATAGTGATTTTCGAGTTGGTTCCAAGATTCAGAATGGGGAGATGGGAGAGGGTGGCATAAAACCACACTTGGCGTTGATGGGGAGCTTCGAGGAGAACGCCTGCGGCGACCCTGGGTAGAACTCAAAGAGCCTAGCGGGACTGGAGTCGCGGATCGAAGCGCTCAGGGATTGTTGTAAAACGAGGGCAAGTTGTACACACCTTCAAGCCGATTTGCTTGGTCGTTACCCTGAATTCCGTGAGGCGCCTTGAGTATTCCCCTTGGAACGAGATTGTTGTCAGAGTGCCGCGGTTCACTCTTGATGGGGCGCAGCTGTGCTTGTGGGAGCTGGAATTGGACCGCTTTTGTCATGGTGGGACGAAATGGAAGATGCAGGGCAGGAGCGATGAACCTGGAGAAGTGATTCCTGAAAGTTAAATAAGGTAAGGAGATCGCTCCGTCTCTCCGTACCTCATGTCGTTGCACTTGTGACTGTAACGTGAGAGGATGTGATTTCTGAGTGAGAACCACCTTGGAACCACCAGACATTTCATTCGATCCGCTGGATAAATTTGAAAAAATCCTACCTCTGTCCGAACCAGATCCCCTCGTAGGAGGTTTTCTTTTTTTTTCTTTTCAATTCGTCCATCTTGCAATTTGGAGGGAATTTGTGAGAATTTAAAAATAATCCTAAAACACATTACGTGATCCCGCTCCTCCTCCACAGCATCAACCTTCCAGGACGCATACCTTTGGCTGACGGGAAGATGACTAACAAGCTAAACAAACGGTCCGAGGCCCCACTGCCTTGATGCTGAAACCTCTCTTGTACCACGTCTTTACGGCGCTTCTCGTACTGCAGTTAATGTTAGTGATAGATACCCTACAACGAGGCTGAACTTGACTGATAACAGGGCAGGTCGGAAATACGACAGTCAAGATAGGGTCACCCTTTCAGAATTGCGGGCATCCCTGAGAAACAAATGATAGAATAACGCGCACCTTGGAATCTCGGACCGTGCAAACTTCCTGATTCGTCCGCGCAATCACAGATGTACGGTCCGCGCACTCACTTCCTTACCCAAATCGTTGATAGGGCGTCAACTGCCACTTATCATAATATCAACGTGATGTGATCGAACGGCTCATCCCCCCCTCCAGGATTTCCGGAGATGGGTCCAGGTGGGTCCACATCCACAATCGAAGACCCCCGATCGCCAGATTACCTGACTCCGATCAATCTAAGGAAATACTACGAACAAATGCCTATATATACAAATTTCCTGGTCACGGCCTCGGCACTCACCGTTCGATTATTCTCTCTACCAATATCAAGCGTTTTCAGATGATACCCCTCTAAGCGATCCGAGGGCCGAGACGCATCATTTTGATGAAAATGAATTATAAGTTCGGTGTCGCCCTCCCAATTCTAGGATAAATGAGGGTGAGGCACGATATTCATGCCTTGCCAGATTAATCTAAAGCTGCGGCGGCGGCGAGCATAACGGAGATACCGGATGTGTCTTCAGGAACAGGCGGTGAAAGAGGGATTTTCCACCGAAATTTGCCTTGAAAGCGGACTCACACCGGACATTGGTGAGCGAAATCCATAGATTTGCGTTCATTCATGTCGAAAAAAAAGTACACTCATTGATTGGGACTACATTTCTCCGACAAATTGGGTTCTTGAACACAAAAAAGAGTACTTCATAGGAAAAACGATTGGTGTGAAATATACGCTCAGTAGGATGTGAAGCTACCCATTCCGGAGTTTCACCATCTCACCTACTAGGCGTCGACACCTCCCGCTTCTTGGCGGACCCTCCCACCTGATCGAGCCATCGCAATTTTATCTTGATGCGTCGATTTGCTTCCCGAGTTGCCCTGCCTTCTGGATCTCTTCGCGTACGATCTCCCGCAAATCTCCAACGCACCACCGCAACGCTGAGTAACCATTTGTAGCCTCGTGCTTTGTGCGTGGATGCGTTGCCCAAGAAAGGTCAGGGTCGGCCCAGGGTTGATGCGCCGTGGGTGCGGTCCGAAATGATGAGTCGCCTTATCTTCGAGATAAGGATGCACAACTTACAACCTATCGCACCTGCATGCAGCAGATAAGAGCAGTAGCAAGTAGAAAGTACGTACGCTTCAGTTTTTCTTTAGGAAGCAATTTGTAACGTCTTATAGACATGAGGTGTAAGTATTGAAAACACCCCATGAATTGTTAGCCCTGGAAAAAACAACTTGACACCTGCGTCTAGTTCAGTCATTTGGGACAAGTCTCGCGCAATAGCTTGAACGTGAAAAACTTATTATTAAGAGGTAAGCGCAGCTGCCAACCATGATGGGAGTGTTGTAAATCAAACTTGTTGTCGCTTCCGTTATGGTGGTATCAGTTTACCAAACCTTTCAATTCCTCCCGCTTTCTTCGGTGAGAACCCGAGCGGCGTAAACGGGTTTGGGTGGGTGTAGCCCACTGCCAGTTTGCGTCCGTGGTGTGAAACTTGTGTCAGAGCGGTGCTATCTATAAACGTGCTTCCTTCTTTGTTGATGATTCTCGTCAACCCCATTTGATGAACGTTCGTTATGGTCTTATTGTCTCACAAACCTCTCGACCCTATGCTAGCTGTTGTAAGCCACGATGTTAAGGCCTGTAGAAAGTTCCTGACTGGGTGTTTTGATGGAAAGACAGTGCGTGATGAAGTTCAAGGCATAGTATTATTCAAGGCATGTTTCGGGGTGTGATGCCCGTGACGTACCCAGTGCATGAATTAGATGTTGAACAGGGTATTCATATAGTGTTGGAGCTGGAAAAACGAGGAGAGCGGTACGCCCGTTTGGAAACACTCCAAAAAGTAAGTGTGGTACTCAATCGTTTCACGTTTCAAGATGTTTTTTGTATTGAAAGAGAAAGCCAGAAGTTTGCCAAGGAAAATCGTAGTCAACTTCCAAGAAGGTCTCCTCTCGTACTCACTTTATTGCCATAAAAAAAAGGTGTCGTCGATAGACTCCTATGCGGCAGTTTGAGAGAGAATCGTTGTTTCGGAAGTAATATCACAACGGTCGCGTTGAAGATTCTATCCAACAGTCACCACCATTGCTAAAACGTGTTAATTTTGTCAGGATAGTCGTTGGTAACTTCGCGATACCATTAGAACGAAATCGTTGCAGAATATTTGAACTTGACGCAAAACCAGCCATCTTGTTCTCTCTCTTTGTTTCTTTTTTTTTACTGCCGGTCCCAATGTGCGCTATTTTTAGCAATTACAGTACGTCGTCGAAGGTCGCGTCGACTTGACTTAGGAGGCTCACTGCGACACATGCACAGAAGTAATTACCGTTCAATTCGTCAGGGAGGAGACTCGAACAAGGCCGAGCGAATGAGTTAGATGGAGTAATGAGTGAAACCAAACGAGTGGATCCAATATTGCAAGTGAAAAAACAAGTACGTCAAGTTTCCCAAAAATGTATATTGGTTAATGACTATGTAGAGCTTTTATGATACCCCCCCTCGAATAAAAACGAACAACAAAATAGGTATGTCTTTAGTAACTTCCATATCTATTCAAGTTCGGGTTCGCACGGGCCGGCAGGGCCTCAGGTTTGCCACAAAGGAGGAACGAAGAGACGTACAACCACAGCCGCAGATCGCAGGAAACGTGGCGGCGTACGGGCTAAAAATTTAGGGTCTCTGATCAGCACCAGTCAAAACAAGCACGCCTTATCTAACAAAGGGATCTCGCCAGTCAACGTAACAACAAAAGTACAGGAAGATTCGGGGATAAGAGCTACGTACGCACAGCCAGGGTAACGAATACACGAATTTGGTGATAGGGAACGAACAGTGCCGGGGGCAGGGTATGTGTGGACGAAGATAGCAAGATGAAAGTGATGAGCTATAAATAAACGCGAGTATGCAGATGTTAATACGTTACCAGCCTAATAGTCTCTTCTGCTATAAGTTGTCCATAGCAGCGTGCGTGCGCATGTGTAGCGCACCCTATAATCAATCAATTCCCTTGCATCTGGGAGAGAGTAAGGGATCTGAGAACACGCACCTCCATGCTATACTTCCCTTTCCGTCCCGATGCGTTTACTTCTAGCGGTTTGCCAGAGAGCACCAGTTCAAACTGCTCCCTGGCAGCGTCTTCATCGCCCATGCAAGCCAGTAGTCGACCGAGTTCGTAATCTGCATCAGAGAAGGATTAATATGCGAGCGATCGGAGGAACTATCGAAGCATCCGCTCCCTTCGGATGGAGCGGGACGCTCCAACGACCGACATCTCTTCCACCATAGAACACACCACTTATCCACAATCAAACGCTCGCCCACTGAGCCCATCAAACGCACTGCTCAACCCGATCATCAAACGCACCGCTTATCCAACACCAAACGCGCATGGGGCATCCAATCCACCAAGTCCACAAAACGCCAAATCACCAAATGCGTCGCCCACCGAACCCATCAATCTCATACAAAGTCATCAGTTCCCACCAACCTTATCAAACGCACCCCTCATCTTATCGAACGCGCCCCACATCAGACAATTTTCAACCCGTCAAACACACCACCTCTCCCCCTCCAAAAAAAATAGAGAGACGAATAAAGAAAAGGCAATAACTCACGCGCATGATACACAAGATGATGGTCCAGCTCAATCTTCGGACCACACTCAAAGACAGCTTCAAATGCCGCAACCGCGCGCTTCGCCGATTCTTCCTTGTCGTGCATCACCACTGGAGAACCTTCCTTATTATATATCAACGAAGACTCGTCGTCAACTTCAGCGTCTGGGTCCTAGGCATAGTGAGCAAACAAGTGAGAATTAAAAGAGGAGAGACCCACAGGAAACGCAACATATCTAAAACAAACACCCTCCAAAAACTTGGTCAAGCACCAATCATCCCAATACCCATTGTCACTTTCCGCATCATGGTCGGCATGTACATCACCTTCCTTCTTTTCATTCTCCGCTTTTTCGCTCAACGCCCGAAGCTGCGCCTCTACCTCTGGTATCATCTTGCGCACGATAACCCCCCTAGGGGCATGTGCGATGCCGAGGAAAAGATAAGCGAGCTCAAGGACGGGGAGACATAAGCGTTGGTTCTGAGATGCGAATTTTCGGGCTTTGCGCGCCACAAATTTCTAAATAAAGTTGGTTAGAGAAAAGAGAGAAGTAGAAAACAAAGAAAACAAATAAACCTCCATCGGTATACTCTTCCCAGCAATCTTCTGCCTAAGCCCCGGGACGCGCTCCATCAACCTAGCAGCTTCCTTCTTCTTCTCCTTGTCTTCCTTAGCAAGTTCAAGCAGACATACAGCCAGGCCGTACGAGTATATCGCTTTACTCCACTAAATTGAACAAGGAGACATGGCGTAAGTTAAAAGATCAATTATCACGAGATGCATAAAAAAAAGGAAGAAGACTCACATTCCCCTCAGCTTCCAAAACCCTCCAACACCCCAAACTCCCGCTCAAATCCCACAAAGCAAGGTACGAAATCGCCATTTCCCAATATGAGATATAGTGTAAATTCGTATACTGTTTCTGCGCGTGCATAGCTTGTGTGTAATATGATATGGCAAGGTGGGGTTGTGAACGGATGAGTGCGAGGCGGCCAGCGCCGAATAGGAAGAATACGCCTAAGTGAATAATAATAAAAAGGTGGATGAGTAAGTGCGTGATCAAGCGATGCGGATAACAAAGAAGAGAAGAGAAGGATGGCTGGGTGGGGTTTAATTGAGGGAGATACGCCTAAACTCGTCAAAGAAGTGTAGGCCCCGACCCCGAAGCCGAAGAAGGTCCAGAAACATCCGCCCAATAATAGCTCTGCATAGGAGACACACTCAATCACGTAGCCCCAGACTCAGATAAGCTACCATCATATAGGCGTAGCCGAATCCCCCGTAACAAGTCACCTGGACCTCAACGTTACTAACCCCCACGAAGCCAAAAAGACCGTAAGCCCCCTGACAACTTGAGCAACCCATTCAAGGACGTTAACGTCAATCACGCAAGAAGGTTCACCACGCTCCAACGAGATAGATACGCCACCCACTCCCGAACGCCAACCTCCGACGACGTTCAACCACACACAAGTACGGCACCCCAAAAAAAAGCGCCACACAAGAACTGGAAAACCATAAAGTGCACAATCATGCAAAGCCATAATCCCGCAATCACGGCGGTAAACGCGCAATCCCTCAAGGAGCTAAGAAAGCCACGCATTCAGGAAAGAGGGTACCCCCCAATCCTAGACGTCGGTCCGTAGGAATGTAAGATACCCAACGAGGTAAAGCACCCTAGGCCTACGCCACCCAGGGTGAGCTTGTCCCCGAAAGGGGGTACTTTGAGCAGAGGTCCGCAAGATCGTTGTCCACCAAAAACGAACGACCATGCACCCCGCTCAATTACGAACGTCCCCAAATCCCAAGTCCTCCCGACGCAACGCTGCACTGGTCCTGGGCGCTGA